ACCACCCCGGTCTGCCAATCCAGGGGAACTTTCCCCGATGTCCACGCAATATTGTAGAGTCGCGTAAGCCAACACAACCCTACAACATCCAGAGCGTTAAGGAACTCCGGGCGAATCTCATCCACCCCTGGGGCCCTGCCAATGAGGAGCTTTTTAACCACCTCAGTGACCTCAGCACCAGAGATTGGAGGGCCCGACCCAGAGTCCCCAGGCTCCGCTTCCTCAGTGGAAGACGTGCCGGTGGTATTGAGGAGGTCTTCAAAGTATTCTGCCCACCGACCCACAACATCCCGGGTTGAGGTCAGCAGCACACCACTCCCACTATAAACAGTGTTGGTGGCGTACCGCTTCCCCCCCGAGATGCCGGATGGTGGACCAGAATCGCCTCGAAGCCGTGCAGAAGTCATTCTCCATGGCCTCTCCGAACTCCTCCCATGCCCGAGTTTTTGCCTCAGCGACCACCCGGGCCACATGTCGCTTGGACTGCCAGTACCCATCAGCTGCTTCCGGGGTCCCACAGGCCAAAAAGGCCCGATAGGACTCCTTCTTCAGCCTGACAGCATCCCTCACCGACGGTGTCCACCATCGGGCTCGAGGGTTGCTGCTGCGACAGGCACGACAACCTTGTGGCCGCAGCTCCGGTAAGCCGCCTCGACAATAGAGGCACCGAACATGGTCCACTCAGTCTCAATGTCCCCCACCCCCCTCGGAACATGTTCGAAGTTTTCCCGGAGGTGGGAGTTAAAACTCTGTCTCACAGGAGACTCTGCCAGACGTTCCCAGCAAACCCTCACAATACGTTTGGGTCTGCCAGGTCTGACCGGCATCCTCCCCCACCATCGGAGCCAACTCACCACCAGGTAGTGATCAGTGGATAGCTTCACCCCTCTCTTCACTCGAGTGTCCAAGACATGTGGCCGCAGATCAGATGAGACGATGACAAAGTCGATCATCGAACTGCGGCCTAGGGTGTCCTGGTGCCATAGACATAATCTAAAAAAAAAGAAAATCCGGAAATCACAATGTATGATTTTTAAAATAATTTATTTGTGTGTTACTGCTGCAAATAAGTATTTGAACACCTTTGAAAATCAATGTTAATATTTGGTACAGTAGCCTTTGTTTGCAGTTACAGAGGTCAACAGTTTCTTGTAGTTTGTTACCAGGTGTGCACACACTGCAGCAGGATTGTGGACCATTCCTCCACACAGATCTTCTCTAGATCAGTCAGGTTTCTGGGCTGTCACTGAGAAACACGGAGTTTGAGCTCCCTCCAAAGATTTTCTATAGGGTTTAGATCTGGAGACTGGCTAGGCCACTCCAGAACCTTGATATGCTTCTTATGGAGCCACTCCTTGGTTCTCCTGGCTGTGTGCTTCGGGTCATTGTCATGTTGGAAGACCCAGCCACGACCCATCTTCAATGATCTAACTGAAGGAAGGAGGTTGTTCCCCAAGATCTCGCAATACATGGCCCTGGTCATCCTCTCCTTAATACAGTGCAGGCATCCTGTCCCATGTGCAGAAAAACACCCTCAAAGCATGATGCTTCCCCCCCCATGCTTCACAGTAGGGATTGTGTTTTTGGAATTGTACTCATCATTCTTCGTCCTCAAAACACGGCGAGTGGAATTAAGACCAAAAAGTTTTATTTTGGTCTCATCTGACCACAGAACTTTCTGCCATGACTCCTCTGGATCATCCAAATGGTCATGGGCAAACTTAAGATGGGCCTGGATGTGTGCTGGTTTAAGCAAGGGAACGTTCTGTGCCATGCATGATTTTAAACTATGACGTCTTAGTGTATTACCCACAATAACCTTGGAAACAGTGGTGCCAGCTCTCTTCAGGTCATTGACCAGCTCCTCTTGTGTAGTTTTGGGCTGATTCCTCACCTTTCTTAGGATCATTGATACGCCACGAGGTGAGATCTTGCATGGAGCCCCAGTCTGAGGGAGATTGACAGTCATGTTTAGCTTCTTCCATTTTCTAATAATTGCTTCAACAGTTGATCTTTTTTCACCAAGCTGCTTGGCAATTGCCCCGTAGCCCTTTCCAGCCTTGTGGAGGTCTACAATTTTGTCTCTGGTGTCTTTGGACAGCTCTTTGGTCTTAGCCATGTTAGTAGTTGGAGTCTTACTGATTGTGTGGGGTGGACAGGTGTCTTTATGCAGCTAACGACCTCAAACAGGTGCTTCTAATTTAGAATAATCAGTGGAGTGGAGGTGGACTTTTTTGAGGCGAACCAACAGGTCTTTGAGGGACAGAATTGTTGCTGATTGGCAGGTGTTCAGATACTTATTTCCGTCACTGTATATATATATATATATATATATATATATATATATATATATATATATAGATAGATAGATAGATGGATGGATGTATGATGTATGATGTATGTATGTATGTATGTATGTATGTATGTATGTATGTATGTATGTAAGTAAGTAAGTAAGTAACCAACCAACCAACCCCCCACCATCTGCTCCTCCGGGTGTCCTAGATAGCAGCTCTCTGCTCCACACAGAGGACTGTGGTAGCTCGGTGTCTGTAGTTGTGTCAGGAAGGACATCCAGTGCAAAAATAATTGCTAAGTCTTCGTGCGACTTAGTTCACTGTAGGGCATTAACAGAGTACTCGAGTAATCTACACATCGATTGCTAGGACCTCTATCGAGGTTAAAAATGTATTGTCGAGTAACCGTAGTGACGTCATATTATGTGACCACTGTATGACCGTAGGGGGTGGTGTTGCACTGTTGCAGGTCACAGAGTATGGTGTAACACCGGGTCCAATCCACCGCCCATCCACTGTTTTAAGTTTCGTTTCTGACGTGCTGCATGTTTCTTCACATTTGCAGTTTAATAATAATAACTAATAGTTTAGTTTTTCCTGTGACTTATTTGCAGTATGATAAATGGTAGAAGCATAATATACACTCCCAATGTTTTGTTGGTCATTTTTTTTTGTAAATAATTACCTCTTATTTCGGTTTTATTTATTTATTTATTTTTGTATCTTGAGATCTATTACGTCATCAAATACTCGAGTTCTACTCGGGTTTTATTATGTTAATGTCGAGTTTAAAAATTATATACTCGTTCAACCCCTAGTTCACTGTGGCAACCCCTAAAATAGGGAGCAGCCGAAAGAAGAAAATAAATAAATAAATAAAATATTATATAATACATACATACATACATACACATACAGTATATATATATATATATATACATACATATATATATATATACTGTATGTGTATGTATATATGGGAGTGGTGGCGCAGAGGTTAGAGAAGGTGGGCTTGTGATCAGAAGGTCACCGGTTCAACCCCCTGAACTGACAACATCAAAATGTGGGTGACAAAGGTGAAACACCCACACCTGCCTCCACTCTCCTTTGCCCCACTCTGAGCCCTTGAGCAAGGCACTTAACCCCCACCATCTGCTCCCCCGGGTGCCCCAGACTGTAGCTCCTTGCTCCACACAGAGTGCTGTATAATTTATTGATATTTTACAAAATAGGCACCTTTTCTTTTTAATTGTTGCTACAGATACAGACAGACTGAAAGATGCTCTGCTGTTTTCATGTTTTCCTTTCATCACTGAAAAGCTGATCAGAGAAAAAAGGAATTATTATAGAATAAAACTCTTTATGTGATAATTGAAATTTAAAGGGTTGTAGGTAAAAAGTTTGATTGCATCCCATGGAAAACTCATTACATTTTTACTTTACATTATGTTTTTAATTTATTGATGTACTGTAATACATGAAAGCTGCAAGCATTTTTATCAGTTTGCATCTTAAAATGTTTTTTGGCTTAGAACGAGACACATTATCATGTTCTTGGCGGTGTACATGAGCCATTCTCCCAACAATACCAAGCCCCCGTCACATCACCCTCTCCTTTGTCTGTGGTCATTTGTTGGATCAGATAAGCTGGCAGCTCATTTTTAACGTGCAGATTTTTGTTGTGGCTCTTTAGCTTCCTGTCAATATCACAACAGGCTTTGTTGAGGCAGCCGCTCCAGCCCAGTTTACAATTGATGCAGCAATTAACTCGAACAAAGCTGAAGGTACATGCATCAGTTCAACTACATTAAAAACACTTTCAAACAGTTAAAAATAAATTTCAATCTTTACAAGATTTAAAGGTATGATTTGTTATAGTTTATTTTACAAAACAATTTGCATTATTTAAAAAGTATATGATATACATACAGTTCAGTAAACCGTACATCGAGCATGGACCATGCGTGAAGATAAATTAATAGATAAAATCATTTTAATTGATTTGGAGAAGCATAAATGAAATGTTAGTTTAGTAAAGGTTAGTGTGAAGGCTGCCGTGGCTCGCAGTGTTTACGTCTCACAGGACAGGAAAATATTTAGAAGTGCTGCCTTTGGGATTTGCCTGTGACGGGCTGACTTCCTCTCGCTTCTCATTCTGTGCACTCCATCCCGCTCAGCCACACATGTTGAGGGGAACTAGACAGTTCCCTGAAGCCCCCACCCCACCACCGGTCTGAGAATAAGGGGGAGGGCGTTGCTCTTTGGCTCCAGCCAGGAAAAGGGGTCTCAGGGGTTTGTTGTTTTTGCTGTCCGATAGCATCGACACGGGTTCCTCAGGCCTGGGTGTTTATTGTGCTACCCAGGCTGGCTGTGAGGAGCCGTGTCCAGGAGGGCCAAGCATGCTGTCTGAGCTCTGTCACCATGGAGACGTGGCGTCGACAGCATCAGTCACCCATCTCCCAGGAAGTGTCAGGATATGCACCTCCGACTGTCCCGCGGAGTCTGCTGCTCCTCAGCTGAACAAATAATAACTTTATTCTGCACAAGTTACTTATATCATCAATTAATAGTAGTTTTTGCTCTGATCTCATTCCCCATCCGGTTATTTAAAATGGAATGACACCCGAAGCAGAACAGGTTTCAGACACTTGTCTGTCTCGTGCCATCAGCATCTCATACCTGTTGTCTCCTGTTAACCCTCAGGTAGAGCTCCTGAGAGCAAAGCTCTGGGCCTCAACAAAGTTGGCGTGCAGCTCGACGAGGCGACGCAGAAAATAGTTGTAGGCGCTGACGAGTCGACGTCAGTGCCAAACATCTTTGCTTTCGGTGACATCAGTGAGGTAGGAACTTTACGCAGATACTCGCTGACAGCAGGAACACTCACACTGTAATTATTAAAACTTAACACTGGGCTGCAGGTACTGGAGTCCACACCCAACCCAGTGCCTGTAAATGGGATGTGGCAGGTGTGTGTCTGCTATTAGACATTAAACTCTTTATAATAACATTTCAGACTAAATCTTTTCATGTTTTACTGAAGATATGTACGTTTGAATCTGATGAAATGTTCATGTAGATGAAGCATTCAGCCAGTTTTTATATATTTTCACAATGTCCAAAATTGATTGTTATCCTTTTTGGATCCTCAGTGTTTTCTTTTAGATATCTTTAAATCCATCTGCCGTATTTTTCAGATCATAAGGCACATTAAACGAAACAAAACAGACAAGTCAAACTTTATTCAACTCATTCACAATAACCACATACAATTGATTTGAGGTCAGTAAGCACAACAAGAATTAATATATAAGGCACACTGGATTATAAGGTTCACTGTCGATTTATGTGAAAATTAAAGTATTTTAAGTGTACTTTACCTTAGAGTCTGAAAAATACTGTAGGCTTCCGTCAGTCATCCATACAGACTGACGGGTTCTGCTAATAAAATGTGTGCTCTGCGCCAACATGCGCTGTTTGACGAGTACACACACCAGCAGGCACCAGTAAAATGTAGCAGATGAAGCTCTGCGGTTGGTTTCTGCTTTCAGAATTATAATATGAATACAATTATTTTATTTATTAGGTAGAAAACGGACAATTAATAAACAGATAATTTAATGATGCTCGTCCTCAGAAACTAAAACTGCCGTGTTCTCTTTGTTAAGTGTTTTGTTTTCAAATGCAACATTTTACCTAGGTTTAAATTAAAGTTGATCTCATGCAGAAATAGAAGAGTTCTGGAGAGGTAAGTTTTCCCCCCTGCAGGAACCTGAACGCATCGTGAAGCTGGAACCAGACGAGTCAAACCTGTTGCAAGTCAGAGTTGTTTTCTTTACTGGGACCAACTGTGAGCTTCCTTCCTGCCTCTGACATCTCATGACACACACACACACACACACACACACGTGCACGCACGCACACACACACACACACACACACAGAGCTCTTGATGAATGGTTATCTCCAGTCCATTTTAAGATGTTTTTTTTTTGTGCAGGCTGGCATCTTTCTACATTTTTTTTTTTTTATTCTTCAGACAGAAAGTGCCAAGAAGCGTTTCAGAATGACGCTCGCTGTCTGGCATGTAAACAGTTACTGGAATGCCAGAGCGCACGTTCACGTGCACGCAGAGGTGCAGGAGATGTTTATAGACAACAGGATGTGTGGCGATAAATTAACAGGTTGAAGTCATGTCTTTAAAATTGCCCCGCAGCCCTGCTGTTTCCTGCACAGCTTGTGTGTGTGTGTGTGTGTGTGAGTGTGTGTGTGTGTGTGTCCATGTCTTTGAATTTGATAAAAAGCACAGAGGCAGAGAAGTGATTTCACTTCTATAAATTAATAAATGCTGCAGTCAGATATAAAAATAAATAAATAACTTTTATGACATTATTACTTTTATTAGCTCTGTTCCAAACCACTCAGTGGTAAATGATGTGAGATCAAAAGGGTGTGGGGGGTGTTTCCAGGGATAAAAATGTTATTTTACTTCCTATTAAAGGTACTGGGTTAAAATAAACTTTAAAGAGATTTTTTAAAATATCTATACATGGATTATTAAAAAATTAAAAATTAAAAGTTTTGAGCTTGTGATATAAATAGTGCAACGTTTCCTGCAGGGTGGGGTCTGCAAGTGTACCCATCAAAAAGCTGTTCCTGCTCCTTTTCTTACTAAATTAAATTTACAAAGAGCTCTAAAATGTACTTGACAGAAAGATGAGACAACTCAGTCAGTGTTGTATAATTGTAGTGATACACGTGAGGTACGTGTCACTTGTTGTATGACAAATATATGTGTTATATATATGCATACAATATTCACGAGTTCTTCATTTTTCTGACTGTAAATGCCGTGCATTGAATTTAACAGAAATGTGAACGAGAGACGTTATTTATCTTTGACCCATCAAATGAATGGAATCATTTATTTTCAAAATCAAAGTTTAACATCAAACATTTACATTAATTTGGCAAAATATGAAAATAATAACAGACAGTTTCACAGAAAATGAACTTCAAATCACTCGGCGGTGATTTGAGGACTTTGCTTCAGATATTCCTAAAAATATCTGTACTGATTTATGAGAGAGAAGAGTTTAAGATTAAATTGAGATTTATCTTACAGAGGAAATGTGTGAGGGAATTTAATCTGTTTGACCAGAAGTTGCACGCTCCGTCAGATCTCCAGCCTGTCCACGGTACACTTTAGTCGAAGAAGAGGCCGTTACCTGATTGATGATAGATCAGCTCAGTAAGAATCCTTTTCAACTGATATCAGCGTCTCCGTTGAAAACAGCTAAAATCCTCGAAGAGTCGTGCGTGGTTAGTTCAAAACAGAATTGTAATCCCAAAACCTCTGGATTCTTCATTGCTCTGAAACTTTCAGAACCGGCTGCACTCTCAATCTGCTCATTCTGTTGGACTATCGGACCTGTTGTCGGCTCCCAATCCAACATCTCTCAGAACTCTCAATCTAACTTGAACTGGGGAGTTGCCACATTTTATTTGGGTCGACTTCCTGTTCAATTTAGAGCTTTCTGATTCGTGGAAGGACCAGAAAGAGGAGTGGTTTTTGACGTAAGGTGTTTATCAACAGTCGAGGTCAGAGAATGAAACTTGTTTAACATACAGAAAAGATTATTGCAGAAGCAGCAGACTTTTTGGAGTCTACTCTTAGTAATCTTCTGAAAAAGTTTAAACATGACATTTCTTCTTCAGTAAACATTTTAGTTGACCGAAGACCAACCTTTCACATACTTACGACAGCTTGCTCATTTCAGACAGAAAAATCAAGAAAGGCATATTCAGGTGATTTCTTCTCTGAATGAGGAACAAAAATCATTACTTACTGTTTATGTAAAATAAAAATTAGTAGTTCTTTTCAACCTGTAAAGCATTGAGTGAACTAACACAATTTGATTATCAAAACATTTGTAAGACAGTAATGATTATAAAGAATTGTCTTTTCTGCTTGATTAATTCAAGAAAGAAAGTTCATCAGATGGCCCAGACTTATTCAGATCAATGAAAATAACAGTCTCTGTCCATCTGGTAGATTTGAGGTCTTCTGGTTCACTACATAATTACCACAACTAGAAAACTTTTGTTTGTCACTTTATATCATTAAAAATACCTTATTTTCTGCCGTACAAGTCGCTCCGGTGCATACTGTAAGTCGCATCAGTCCAAAAATGTCTCATACAGTGGAACAAAACATAAATACGTCACTTGGCCGTATCAGTCACGTTTGTTACGCGTCACCGCTGACTCCGGGAAACATTGTGCCAAAAAACGATTGGCTGCCAAATGGCGGCCGCGGGAACATGCACGGGAGGACTTTAACAAGAATTTAACAAGATTAACACTTAAAAGTAAAGGTGTGTCTCAGTCTAACTTTTCATTAATAAATGCACTTTGATGATCAAATCAGCTGCATTTCACCTTATACGGTGGAAAATACAGTAACACAAATTGGAAGTTGGAACAAAGAAAAAAACACTTATTCAAAAAGATAAGAACCATTTTGGTCAAATCTAAACACTGAACCTGTGGTCTTTTAGAGTTTTTTTTCTATATTTATATAACATAAATATCCTGTAGGTGTTCCACTTTGAAAGAAAAACTCCTGCAGTTGGAGGGAAGATGAGATGTGGGTTGTTTTGTTGGATATTTAATTGTGATTCTGACTCTGATTTTCCTTTTATAAAAGCAGAGACCTTTATTTACTTCAAATGTTGTTCTTTTTTTAATTAAAAATGAGCTCTTAAATATAATTCCTATTGTTATGAGAATGTTGTGATGTTTTCCTATCGTGCTTATAAATGTAAATATTCATTTCTGTGTTTGTTTTAGTCCAAGCTCCAGTGAGAACATGTTGAGTCTCATGTTTTGTTGTTTTATTAGTTACCGCTGAACTTAAAAAGCTTTAATAATTGTGTCTTTTATGACTCTTTTAAATCATTGTAACATCATATTTGTTTTCCACCTTTAAAGTTTTGTGAAGGCTGAAGGTTAAAGTTCATCACAGACGTGTGACACATCAGAGCGTCTTGAAATTTTTTGTGTTTTAGGGTCGTCCTGAGTTGACCCCGACGGCCATTAAAGCTGGAAAGCTCCTCGCCCGCAGGCTGGCTGGTCAAAGCGCCGAGCTCATGAACTATGACAACGTAACACACACACACACACACACACACCAAGGGTGATAGTTTTCTTCCTTCTCTGAACAGTTTACTTCTACGTGGCCCTTTTTTTTTATGTTTATTGTTTGAAGTCACGTTTGCAGCAAATTTCAGCTCATTTCGACTGTTTGGTTGGAGTCTGTCCTGCACCACCCTTTAACTTCCTGCCAGCCTCTCTTTAGAATGATTCATAGCATCATATTCATCATCAATCTTCATCATTCTGGTTTATTTATTCTTCGAGCTGTAACGCCAACTTTACAGTCGATGTTTTGTCCTTGAGGATAAAGCGTTTGTTTTGAATGTGTCTTTTTTTTTTAATATAGAAATGTGACTAAAAGATAATCGACTTTCTGTTCGACACAGTTGATACCAGGAAGGGAGCAAATCTGTCATGAAAGGAAAAGCATCCAGACTCTACCCACACATGTGATAGCTCAGTGGAGACACCTCGGTCTTAAATAAGGACAACTACACACGTGGACGTTGTGTTTGTACTTGTGTGTGACAGGTGGCCACCACCGTGTTCACCCCCCTGGAGTACGGCTGCGTTGGTCTGTCTGAGGAGGAGGCTGAGAGGAGGCACGGAGAAGACCAAATAGAGGTCATTGTAATATCTAATCCAACTATGTTCAGCAAAAAATCAGGGATTAATTAACTGTGACATCTGAAAATACAGATTTAAATGTCCAACATCTTATATGTGACGTAAACAGACATTTTGTGTGAATCTGATTAGACGAGGAGGCATCTGTGCTTTTAATGCATCTATCCATCAGTAATTAAACATTTAATCCATCAATCCATCAGTAAATAAACGTTTAATGCATCGATCCATCAGGAATTAAACATTTAATCCATCGATCCATCAGTAATTAAACATTTAATCCATCGATCCATCAGTAATTAAACATTTAATCCATCGATCTATCAGTAATTAAACATTTAATGCATCGATACATCAGTAATTAAACATTTAATGCATCTATCCTTCAGTAATTAAACATTTAATGCATCTATCCTTCAGTAATTAAACATTTAATCCATCTATCCTTCAGTAATTAAACATTTAATCCATCGATCCATAAGTAATTAAACATTTAATGCATCGATCCATCAGTAATTAAACATTTAATCCATTGGTCCATCAGTAAATAAACATTTAATCCATCTATCCTTCAGTAATTAAACATTTAATCCTTCGATCTATCAGTAATTAAACATTTAATCCTTCGATCTATCAGTAATTAAACATTTAATGCATCGATACATCAGTAATTAAACATTTAATGCATCGATCCATCAGTAATTAAACATTTAATGCATAGATACATCAGTAATTAAACATTTAATCCATCTATCCTTCAGTAATTAAACATTTAATCCATCAGTCCATCAGTAATTAAACATTTAATGCATCGATCCATCAGTAATTAAACAATTAATCCATCGATCCATCAGTAATTAAACATTTAATGCATCTATCCTTCAGTAATTAAACATTTAATGCATCAATCCATCAGAAATTAAACATTTAATCCATCGATCCATCAGTAATTAAACATTTAATCCATCGATCCATCAGGAATTAAACATTTAATGCATAGATACATCAGTAATTAAACATTTAATCCATCTATCCTTCAGTGATTAAACATTTAATCCATTGATCCATCAGTAATTAAACATTTAATGCATCTATCCTTCAGTAATTA